CAACACAAATAACTCACTCGGCTTTGCAGAGGGCCTGCCAGGCCTCGTAGTACTTCACGGGATCGGTATCCTTGGCCGTGAGCTCGAGCGCCTCGGCCTCAATGCACGTCAGATTGAGCTTATGGTGGATATGGAGGGCTGAGTGCTGGAGCGCCTTCACAACTGACGCGTACGAGTCCTGGAGCTTCGTATACTTGCCTACCAGTGCGATGTTCACCTCTTTGGTCATATTGTCGTACCTGTCGGCCAAGTCGCGCCACCTCCTCATGAGTGGGCGCGGCATCTTGTGGTCTAAGTTGAGGTCGAGGCGGGTGTCAAAAAATAAGGCCAACTTTTGCTCCTCGAGCGCCAGTGGCACGCGATATATGGACGACCGGTCGTGAATGCACACCACCTGATCCGGGTCCACGTGACAGAAGTCCGAGATCTTCTCCTTCACCTCAGAGGTGATCGGATTTTCGCTCCGGCATATGATCTACGAGTGTGTTGAGGGGAACGGGAGGTTTGGGATTATTAATTAGTTTTTAAACCAAACGTTCGACACATTTAAACACAAACCATAAATGAGTGAATGAGAGAGAGAGAGAGAGAGAGAGAGCTATACAAACCAGATCTGGTGAGAGTCCGAGTCCCCTGAGCTCCCGTACGCTGACTTGCGTGGGCTTAGTCTTGTGCTCACCGGTGGTCTTGGGTTGTGGCACAAGACTCACGTGAACGTTGCAGAAGTTGGACGCACCCACCTTTCTGGCGAACTGTCGGAACGCCTCCACGAACGGCATACCCTCGATGTCGCCGATGGTTCCGCCCAACTCTATGACACACACTTCGGGCACGTGATCCGCGCCATCACCGCCACCACCAGTGGCTCCAGGCTTGGCCTCAGGGGTAACCCTCACGTCGACCGGTATGCGGGCCACCCGTTCCACCCATTCTTGTATAGCTGTCGTCACGTGTGGTATGATTTGGACCGTCTTTCCCAAGTAGTCACCCCTTCGCTCCTTTTGGATCACGTGTTGGTATATCTTTCCGGTGGTTATGTTGTTGTCCTTATGGAGGGTTACGTCCAGAAAGC